TTAAAAAAAATCAAATTAAGATAATTAAATTTGAATGGAGGGAAAATAATCTTTTGGGATAATGGATTTTCAAGTAGATTTGCAAGAAAAAAGTGTAAAAATGTGTATGATTATTTAAATACCAAAATTAATCAAATCCCAATGTGAATTTGATTGGGCGTTCCAAATTCAATGTTCTTATTTGTTTTCACAAATTAAGTACTTCTTTTGTTTCATTTTAATTGTCTTATTTTTTTTTCCTTCATATGTACTTAAACAATTTAAAATTGACCAAATTTCTTATATATACCCTAAGAATATTTATTTTCATAGTCAACACTCTTCAATATTTTTCTCTCGCTCAACACTTTTAATAATTCAAAATCTGCAAAAAAATTAAAAAAAAAAAGAAGTTAAATGTAAAGTCATATGCAAATCACCTAGCTGTTACAATTCATTAGCTCGTAAATGGTTGTTGATGGCTTCTTGTGGATATCGAGTAAGAGTTGAGAGATTTCAAGTTTCTTATCTCCGACGAGTGATTGAGATAGTTTCCCTGCAAAAGCAAGTTTGAATTCTTCAACAACGTCTTGATAGGCGTGAGTTGAAAAATTAAGAAAAATGATAAAGTTGAATTTTGTGATTTCGAGTTACAAGAAAAAGAAGTTCTTAAGGAGGAAATTATTGGTTGCGTGAAGAATCTGAAAGAGTTCTCTACAGAGGGTGTTGATTTTGTAAAACAAAACATTGATCTGTCAGCCTCTGATCTCTTTGCTAATGAAAAGGACTCAATCGTTAATTGGAGCCGCAAATCGACCTAAGGCTCAATAGTTCGTCCTTAAACTTTAGGGCTTGGTCAAGGTAGTGGTCAAGATTTCGAACTCTACCACCGTCGTAAACTCCATCAAAATACAGTTTAATGACCGTATGCCTCATTTAAGGGGGTGGAATATTTACCGATTTGAAAATTTCAATTACTATCAACTAACTTATACAAATTTTTTAATCATTACTTTTATAAAAAAAAAATCGTTAATCGGAGCCTTCCACTTATTTTTTTTGACAAAGATCCAAATAAAGATGAGGTAAAAGAATTTTTGTTGCCTATTGGTTTGTCAAATCAAGATGAGGTGGAATGTGAATTATCAATTGTCTCATCAAATCTAGATGAGGTAGAACTTGTTTTGCCAAATGCCACATCAATTCAAAGAAGAAATTATGTTCCCAAATATTTTTTCAAAGCAAGAGGAGCAGGAGCCTCAAAGGAATTCCAAGATTGAAGTGAACGAGGACACGCGGAAGTCCGACATTGAAGTATAGAAGAAACAGGGGTTAATTCGAAACCCATTGTTCTCTTCAAGGATCTCTTTCTCGATGATGCTCCCAAGGTGGACGTGGATTTCTTCACCAACCTTGATCTATGGACAATTCCATGCACATCCCTGTCTTCAAATTAGATGACATCCCGCCAGATGTTGCATTGACAATTTTGGCATGAATTAATTGTGAGATGGAGATTTGAGTCTCGAAGACAAAAGCTCCTAAGCTCGAGGACCAGTTTTCTCAAGTCAGGGAAAATGATGCGAGAGCCTCCCAAAGAAGCCAAAGGACTTTTATCCTTCACTATTTTTAACTACTGTATAAAAAAGGTTACTATATTTATTATATTTTTTTACTATTAATTTACATATATAAATAAAAATAGACTTAAATTTTATTAATTATTTAATTAAATTATTTTATGTGATATTGATGTTAAAAATAAATTTTATTTTTATAATTTTTTATATAAATTATAATAAAAAAATATAATAAATACATTATTAATCCATACTTTTTAAAAAAAACCTTATTTTATTGTTACTTTTTCACTAAAAATTTACTCAATAAAATTGCTGTCCGGAAAACGGATTTTTTAATAAAAAATAATGGTTAAAAATTAATATTTATTCAATAAATAAAAAAATATGAACATAAATAAACTTCACCTACAGGGGCACGGCCTAATTAGTGGATCACATAGAAGAGTTCCCGGACAAACAGACCTTAAAGGTTAACTTTTACTTCTTTACTACTCCTACCATTTGTCCATTGTGGGTCCGTCGTTGGATAGGATTTTTCCGACTGGTTAACTGGGAAAGTCTTTATGCGAATGATTGACTTTTAGGAAAAGAAGCCGTATATCAAAACCCCAAAAGTCCCATCAACTTGCATACCTAAGTTTTTTTTGAAATTAGGTAATGGACTTGCAGACCTCAATTGCTTTATCTAATGGGTGATGGTGTTGGTCAGTTTTTGTTCCCCCCCTTTTTTTTCTTTTTTGAAAATTCATAGCCCTTTTTCAAAAAGTGAAAGCTTTCTTCCACCAAGATTCTGATGGGTCAAGAACGTGTGCTTAGGTTTCTTGTCTAATTCCAACTTTATCTTTTAATGGGCAGCCAAGTAAATCATTTTTTCAGCATTCTCCTGTTGTAGTCTAGTGGTATCAGTGCAATTTAAAGGATTACCGGTAAAATGTACTTAATTAGTGATTAAATTTTATTAAAAAGTAAAATATTAATTTTTAATTTTTAATTTTTAATTATTACCCTTTAAAAAAAAAGTTAAAGTACTATTTTGGTCCCTCAACTTTTTACTTTGGTATCAAAATTGTCCCTCAACTTTAAAAAATATCAAAATTATCTTTAAATTTTTATTTTTATACCAAAATAGTCCTTCTGTCAATTAAGTGTACAGGTAGCACGTTAAGATGCCACAAAATCATTGACTTTTTTGAATCTGAATGACCTGTAAATCTAGCAAAAAAAATCTTGTCACATGGCATTTTTTTCACACGTAAGATGGTGACCACCTCAGTTTTTTTAATGGGACCCACATAGCATTTTTAAATGACGTGTAAGTTCTACCTGTTCGTCCCCAACAGGCCCCCTCAAACGAACAGATCCATCTTCTTGGCGACCGGAGTATCTCTCCGGCATCGTCTGATATGGCGAGCGTAGGAAGCTCCAAAGGGCGAAAGAACTGAGGAGGAGAAGGCGAGGTTAAGGGCTTTCAGGTGACGTCGGGTTGGGTCAGGTCGGCGAGAGAGAAGGCGCGTGTAGGTAAGGGTTTCACCTGTGTGCGAAAGGGGTGGGTTTTAGAAAACCCAGATTTGGAAAGTTTGAGGGTTTGGCACATATCTGTGTGTGAGAGTTTGAGGGTTTGGTACAGATGGGGCGTGTGCAGGGTTGGTGTATAAGTGAGCGACTGAGAAGGGGGTGGGTTTCAGAAAACCCAGATCTGGAAAGGAAGAAGAAGGGAGAAGAAGGGGTGGGTTCGAAGGATTGAGAAAGAGGAAAGGGAGAAGACGGCAGCTGTTTCCGGTGTGGCGGAGCTTCCAATACCCTACACTAGCCTCCGCCTCATCAATCGCCCAGACTGTAGAAGTCTTCCATGCCTTGTCTTGATTCTTTGATTTCTTTTGTTTTTGATACTTCTGTAACTATGGAGGATCGAGATTGGGATTTTTTGTACAGGAATACTATTACTTTATCTTGTGCTTCATTTCTTCATTCCTTCTCTGGTTGGTTTTTTTTTTTATTATTATTAATTTTGCTCTGTTAATCCATGATGAGATTAGTAAATAATTGCTGTCTTAGATCTAACAAATGGTCAAAGGAACGGTTTCTTGTTTCTCTTTACTTTTGTGTTCTCTAGATGATCCTCTAATTTTGGTGGTAAAGCATTTGTTAGGAGATAATAATATGCTCACTAAATGTGTTTTCTGCGCTCTAATCTCAAGTGTCGGGGCTGGAGAAAGGGATGGGCTAACCAGATTTGGGTTTGAGAGAGGAAGAAGAAGGAAGAAGAGAAAGAGAGAGAATAAGAAGAAGAAAGAAAAATGAGCAGGGAAAGTAAGGAGGAAAGGAGGAAGAAGATGAAGTTTGAGAGAAGACCTAGACCTGGGTTTGCAGAGGTAAGAGAAAAGGAAAGGTAAAGGAGAGAGAAAATGAAAGAAGAAGAAGAAATTTGACGTGGGTGAAAAAAAAAAATTGTTATTTTTAAATTAAATGAAAATGCCAACTTATAAAAAAAATGCCAACTATGGTGTTTTTTTTCCATGTCATTAGCTAAGAAGAAAAAAGAATTGATTTGCTGGAATTTTAACGTGTCACCTGTCATTTAACTGACAGAAGGATTATTTCGGTACCGAAAATGAAAGTTTGAGGATAATTTTGGTATTTTTTAAAGTTGATGGACAATTTTGGTACTAAAATAGAAAATTGAGGGATCAAAAGGTACTTAAACCAAAAAAAAAAAAAAAAAAAAAAAAAAAACCATTTTCCCTGTATATAGAATGTCATAGGCAAGTGATATCTTCTCATCAGTAACCACTCACTAATCTTTTAAAGAGTAGGCATCCTACCCGGTGACGAAGCCACATTTAGACCAGTGGGGCCATGGCGTCTGATTTTTTTTTTTTGGAACAATTTATAATTCCGTTCAACGTCTAATCTTTTTGAACATTTTTTAATTAGCATTTCATATTTTAAATGTATAAATAACATCCTAAGTTTTTTAATATAGAATAAGAATTTATTAATTATTTAAAAAATTATTAGAATATATTTATTGTTTTTCTTTTAATTTCTTTTAAATGTCACTCTAATGATAGTACCTTTACAAATCTTTTTCAAATTTATTTTCATTTTATGTTTCATTTTTAATTTTATTTAACTTTGTCTTTTGACAATTATTTTATACATATCTAATTGGTTAAAAGTGTATAGAGAGATGAATTTATATTGCCTTAAAATTCACATATATGTAGTGCCACATCAGCAAGACTGATTTTGGACTTGTGATTGAAAGGGCTCATGTAATCTATTTCCACATAAAACATGCTATATTCCATCTTCTGTTAATAACCACAATATGGTCAGCATCACCAAAAGTAACATTCACCCATTTTGCTTGGAATGATACAGACATGATCTATTTTAACATTACTCTCATATACTGGGCTAAATGCAACTACATTTATCTCTATGACATGGCTGGACATGTGTGACAATCATGATCTCTACAACAACATTTGCTACTATATATTTTTGGCTTCCAATAATGACAAATAGCTTCTCTTGATTTACATAACTCCCATCAAAGGACAACAAATTGATTTTATAACATCTACATATCTCCTAGCAATGGACAAAGGGCTAGGCATCTACTTTGCATATCTTTATCACTACTTTCCATCAATGGACAACAGGCTAATTTTATTATATCTACATAGCTGCCAGCAATAGATAAAAGGCAAGACATGCTACCTTACATAGCCTCTAAAAGTTGACAAAAGGCTAGACATCTGCACATCTTTATTACATTAGCTCTTAAAAACAGATAGAGGGTTAGATTTGAACATCTTTTACTTTATTGGCTCAAAGAAATAGATAAAGAGTCAAAGCACTTGGTATGATTAGCGTGAGGCTGATAATAGTTGCAACCTACAATTGGTTGGAATAGTTATCCTTTAATGATAAAAATCCATCAAGTTGTGGCCAGTGGCTTCTTAGTGGTTGCCCATGCATGGTGGTGTGGCTCTTGGCAGGCATAAACAACCACAACCATTCTCTAATAGTGTGGGTATGTTTAAGAAAGGTCATCATCATAGTGATCTTATTGTGGTATCAAATCTTGTTCGTAGCGAAGGCCATGGATGCGTGGTTGGTGTCCTTCCTTTTATGGTTAACACTCCACCTATTTTATTATATTCATTGCCATGTTGGATTTCTAGATTAATGAGATGTACCCCTTTGTAACTTGGGGAATTAGTGGGGATGCTCTTTCTTTGAGATTTATCCCCTTAATTGCTTTCATGACTTGGCGGATTATTAGGAATGCTTTTCCTTTACTCTACATAGTTGATGCTCCAACTATAGGCAAAGCTAGCAATTATTGTCCCTCTGGCTAACCTTGCAATACATACCATGGTCAGTGTTCATGCATGTTATTATTGTTTCTACACAAAGGGGCAAAATTATGAGTCATTATTAATCCTAATTTACAACATGTTTCTATTACATTGTATGTGTTATCAGGTATCTTTAACTAGTGACGTTTGGCTTAATAAAACGATACTGTAGCATACATCCATACTATTCATTCTTTATCTTGGTGCATCACTAGACATATACAACAATATTATATAAGTGCTTTCTAGAAGGCACAGCAATATCCATTCACACCATCCCCCTTGACATGCAAGAGAGTATTCTTCTTTATTACAAATACTTACATATTCCATACTTACATATTTGAACAAATACTCATTCATATTTTGCTCTTTGATGTAGATGAATCTAAATCCATGAACCCAAGCTCATGGGAATTATTTAGGGTAAACTATGGGAGTAGTAGCTTGGTAGGCATGGGTAGATGAACAGTGCCTACCTGGTAAAGTATATAGCATTCGAGCCAAGCAAGCTTAAGGCTAGCAATGTTCCTCATTCATTAGAAAGAGATGGGTAGTAAATATGTGGAGGCAAAACTTGATCCCAAACTAGATCATTTGATGCTAACTAGAAGGTTTGCAATCCTATTGAAAACCAACTACATATGCCATTTAAGTCTCTATCACCATCCTGTAGTCGTATTTAATGCACGGATGGCTACAAAAGTTTCATTGCATGGAAAATTGGCAAAAGTGGTTATATTTTATCTAGAAAATCTACCAAAATCTTGGATAGATGAAAATTTGTTGATAATACTCAATTACACCCCAAATATGGCGTTATATATGGATATGAAATTGCCAATAATAGGAGGGCTCCAACAAACTAGTAGTCCTTCGCTGAAAACTTTAGAGAATTCATAATCACAAATCAAAACCTGTTAGAAGTGCCTAGATATACCCAAAACTTGACACTTGTCCTCACACATCTCATATCTAGTTATTGGATTGTTAGGCTACTTTGGCTCTACAAGCCTAAAATTATCAAAATGCTACTACCCATATATATTTACTTTTCCTTCATTTTCGATAGGAGAAGTATTTTATCTCACTTTACCATCTCATCTTTATCTTCAACCTCTTGATTCTCTCACTAAAAGTTCTCCAAACTTACTACAACTCTTTTCCTCTTCATTTCTAAGCTCACATTTACATATGCACTCCTCATAATCCTCCATTTCTTACGTTTTTCTTTCATTTCCAACCACACAAATTATTCTCTAGACTTATAATTCATTATGGTTGGAAGATCTCACATTACAACTTGAGGTTTTGGGTTATTTTTCTTAACATCAAAGGATCAAATAGCATAGAGTTAGCATCACAAAATAAGATCAAGTCCTCCATTAAAAGCTCCCCCAATGGTCATCCTTCCTTCCCCACTCACTACTTTCTAGTTTATTCTTCCTTGTTTTATGCAAGTTTGAATAAGATTGTTGTATTTTGAGCTCCAATATGAAATTTGCTTATTTTAAAATTGGAGTATTTGTAAAGAATAGTAGAAGGCACATGTATTGTAATTATTATTCCACCATTTTTTTTTTATAAATGTGTTCCTCTAGTTGTACAAGTTGATCTTTATATTTCCTATCCTTACTGCTCCTGCTATTATGTACATCACCTATCCATTTTCTTTTGTGGTTGTGTAATTGTGGTCTTGAAACACCTTCACCATTGTTCTATTCTCTTGGCTTGGCTGGAAAAGCTTGAAGTTTTTCCTTACCAAAGAAGAAGAAAAGGGAAGACAACCTGTGGCACATAGCCTCTTACACGTGAAACGGGTGTAGGCCAAAAAGAACATCCTTATTTCTTATAGGGGCATCCTATTCAACTTCCACATCACCTTTACTACTTACTTATCAACCCCTTACCTCAACAAAGTGAATGATAAATTTTGTTTTTAAGTGTAAAAAATACTGCTTACACGTAAATAATATAGCTTATACTCTTAAGAATATCTTTTATTACATAATATGGCTATCATAATGCTACTTTGGTTATTGAAGATTTGTACCACATGGGTTACTTTATCACCAATTGAGGGTTACACTATACAAATGATAAAATTTGATACATTAATTCCTTTATTTTTTGGGTACAAAGGGGTAGTGATTAATCTCAGTAGAAATTATCTAATAGTCTGGTGCTGACAAACTTTGATCATATCTTCACCATACAAATAATTTGGTATGTTAATATAATTTTTTAGTTTGATAACATGCTTTGTTACATTCAACTATATGAGGATGATGATGGAATTCTTCCCTTACATGAAGCCTAGGAGTAAGAGGACCTTAGGGCAAAGAGGCTATGCCTAATGGGTAAGTTTTTATCCTGCAGAAGAATAAATTTGAATGGGTTTCATGATGCTCTGATGATTTCTTGGAGTCCAAAAAAAGCTATTAAAATATTTGAAATTTGAAAAGATTAAAGACTTCTCAAATAACTACTATACAGAGTAATAAGCTATGACTTAAATATGAAAGACTTTTGGAATTTTGTTTTGTTTATGGTCATATAGGTCATTTTGAAAATAATTGTGAGGTTGTTTTCCACATCAAAGAAGCTGGTGGGAAGGTGGTAAGGCGATTTGGTTCTTGGTTAATGGCTAAACTAGAAAATTCATGATGTCCGTACAATATCGATGAGCTTGATGAGCCCTTCTCTAGTAGTGTTTATCTTTTAATTGGAAAAAGGAATGTTGAGGCGAATTTGGGACATAATCATCCAATGGATGCAAGCAATGGCCATGACAATACCCTTTGCATCGAGCTGAACAATCACAACCAAGTGGACGCAAAAAGTAAAGCAAATGGCACGGACCAAGTGGAAAGTAGAGATGAATTCGAGCGGCATGTTTAGGAATTCTTTGGATGAGAATAATTTGCTAGAGGTTCCATTGTCATAGGAGTTTGAAAACATAAAAGCCTAGGAAAGAGAAATAGAGGCTCGGGTTCTAGCAAATGAAAATGGAGGAGGTTAGGTCCTGGACTGGAAATTTTACCGAGAACGGAAAAAAACATTCACGGGAAATGGAAGAACAGTTCGGTATCTGTGGGAGAGGACAGGAAATCTAAAGTGTTTGTTGATAACTTGAGTGTGACTCTATTTCAAATGGATGAGGGTCGGCCACGATTCACCCCTAAGTCCATTGGCCTTTTGGAACGGCATACAACAGGTTGGGAACTGTTGTTGGTGATAATACTTGATCTACCCACAAAGCCAATGTCGTAGCTGAGAATATCTAGTACCTTAGGATGCTCATAGAAACTTTTTTTTCTATATTAATAGCTTATTAGGTCTATACAACAATTATTATACAATTCTTAGTTGCGAGTAACTTTTTTTGCTTAATTGTCTAAATTTATTATGAGTATAATTTAAGTTTGTAACTAGTATTGCAGCTCATGCTTTAGTTTTTAGGCTATAGTGTCATCATATAGAGATTCTGGTGTAATCTCATCTTATAATCTCTCTATTTTCCATAAAAAAATTGATACATTTAAGTCTTAATATCATTTTACATGTCATAATTCTAGCAAAATCCATATTCTTCATTCGCTAGTCAAATATGCAGTTTGATAGTCCAAAAAAACCTGCTGTCAAAGAAAAACTGAGTCTTTTCCTTTCTAGCCCCTTATAATATCTCGTATTTGCTGAGGATGATCAATTAATTCATGTCACATTCGTTCAATGAGCCAGAAACAACTTCGCTCTCCCGACTGATCAAATCTGCCATGGGAAGACCCTGAACATTTCATGTAAAGTAATGCTAACACATGATATCACATCAATTCATGTGTCTTTTTTAGTACCTATAAAGAAAACTAGTGCTGAAACTGAAAAATCAAATTAAGTCAAAACAAGATACACGGTACACCCATATTTTTCTTTTGCTAGTTTTTTACATAAACTTTTGATCTTCATCCCACTTAGATCTAAGCAACTTCAGCAGCATTCTAGCTTTTGTCTTCGTCCTCCCACTGCACTGGCTCTGTAGCAGAAGCAGCAACTGAGTCAAAACCCCAGCAGCTATGGCTTTTTCCCTAGCCTGCAATGATTCTTGACAGATGATCATCAATGAATTCACCGCGCTCTCGCTTCCTTCGTGATCCGATACCCTGAATACCATTTTCACAAGTGCTTTCACATGGTTTGCACTGTTAATCACTGCTTCTTTTCCAGTCTCAAGTTCCAGAAGTTGCTCAATTATCGTCATTGATGTTCCTGCCAAGCTTCTTTCCCGTCCGTCGGAATTCAGAATGTATATTACGAGTCCGTTTATTATACCCGCTTGAACCAGATTCTCTCTATTTGACTCCGACGAACGTAATGCTGAAATTGCTCTAACCCCGGCCTCGGATGAATCGGCATTCTGGTGAAGGAGGAGCAGGATTCCATGCAAGAACCTGGGGTTGTTTCCAATCATTGTACAGAGAGCTTTAGTCTCTGAGGAAGATGATACTGCCTCCACCAGATGGCATAAGCTTGTTTTGATCTCGCTACACCCACGCTCGAACAGGAGAAGAAAGGATTCAAATGTGGAACCTCCTCGAAGCATATTTAGAGATCCCAACTCACCAAGCGACGACAATCTCAAAACCCAAAGGAGGGCTTCCTTGGCGAACTTCTCATACTCGTTGAACGCCTCCAGTTCTACTTTCTCGAAGATAAGTCGCAACAATAACGGTAAGAAACCTAATTGGAGCAAAAGAGAGCCCGTAGAGGGCGATTCTTCTGCTATAACTTGAATTCCCTCTAGTGTTCGACGTTTTTCCTCAAAAGAAACTTTATGGGATTCAAGGCTATGTTTGAGTGTCGCCAAAGGATCGAGGGTTGAAAAGTAATCAGGATCAAGTCTGTGACACATTTGACGCCATTGTTCAATCAAATGGCGGAGAGTGTGATTGGGAACCAAAGACGGATCGTGGAGCTTTTGCATTGTGATGGGGCAGGTGAGATTGCCAGCCGCCAGCCATTTTTCGATGCTTGGTCTGTCGTAGGTGTGGCCAGTACATAGCGTGACTGGATCTGTGAACAAATCCAGACTAATTGGGCAGGTAAATAAGTGAGATATTTTCATTTGAGCTTCTTCCATTGGAGAAAGACTGAAAAGGAAGAATGAATTGATTAATTGAGAATCTGGGTAGGTGGATTATAAAGGCTATGCAATTAAGAATTTACAGGTAATGCAAGACGCTGGTATCAGACGACGCATATAAAGAGGAAATTGGGATTAAATAATGGCAAAGGATATTATAGTGGAAGTTGGCCTTTTTCAGTTCTAATTCCACACCAAGAATTTAGATGAGATTATGAAAGCAGAATTGAGTTTTAAGGAAGAAATATTGAAAGGAAGAGAAAATTCAGGAAAAAAAAAATTGAAGGAGAAGAAACTGATACAAAGATGATAAAGTGTTGCCAGCAGCTGCAGTATGTGGGCTCTGAAGCTCAAGAGTTACAGACAGAAGAGGAGAGAAGGAAGGAGAGAGCAAAAGTACAAGCTTAGTTGGAGGATGAGAAAGAGAACAAGAAGAGAGGATTAGGACCAAACGGCCGCCTTTTGCTCGTATTTTATCAATCTAGTCAAACTTACCCATCTTCGGCCAAAAAACAAGCTGACCCACCTATAAGGAAACTTATAATTGTTTGTCTTTCAAGTTTGAAGTTTGAATCTTACCTACATTGATTGAAAATAAAATAAAACTGTGTTTGTCTGTGCTGTGCCAAAAAAAAAGAGGGGGAGGGGGGTTTAATGGCAGTCACAAGGCTCATGAGAAGTGCAATAATATGGAAACAATTTAGTGCCCCCGGAGGTGTTGGAAATAATACTAATTTAACTTTATGTAATGTGCATGACCAGAGCTACCTTGCCTCATAAAGATTTCTTTTTTCCACTTATCACATCTCATCATTTACAAAATATTTGCAGGTGCAGTGATCTCCATTTTTTGCAATATCTAGCAAGCAGCCGGACTTGTGTGTGAAATTTCCCTACAGGTATTAAGGAAGCTGATATCATCATATTTCTTCTTACTTCTATATCCAATTTTAATGACTGGGAACATATATATTGCTAGAAGCCCAGAATAAAGAACACAAATTTGGGTTAGGTTAAACAATCAGACAATTTAGGGATCCTTTTTACTTTTCTTTAAAAACATAAAAAAATAATAATTTCTTTCCCATGTTTTGAAGTGAGCTTTTAACATCATCCATGAGTACAACACTGCCAACCTAGGTCGAATCATTGCCCTGATTTTCCAAGCCCTGTGTCAACTTTCTCAGCAGAATTTCTGGTTTCTCAAATTCGGTTTACCCCTTTAAATCAAATGCTCAGTCCAATTCTATTTCAAATTGAATTTTGAATGCTGCACTTATCTTCTGATGCTTTATGAAGTGTTCGTGATAAAAAGCAATTAATTGTGGATCAAAAAAAGGAATCTATGAATTGTCTCTAATGTTGTTTTTTTTCTTTTTAATGAAATATTAAATAAACCAACAACAATTTAATCAAGTTACTATCAATTATTTTAAAAATTTTAATTTCAAATCAAAATAAAAAATTTAAATTTCAATAATACCAATCAATTAACTCTTGATGTATTGAAAAAAAATGAAGCATTAAATTACCCAAACATGGGTCCATGTGTCCCTGAGGTATGCCACCCAATAAGAGTCAACGAGGATAAGAATAACATCAGGGAAAGGAGTTTCCAAAACATATAAGCCAAGAGATGCCATCAAACCATGCCTGCAGGCAATCGAGCCAACCACCATTTTTCCTTCTTCCAATGTATGTAAAAATCTGTAGTTAGGTAATTTCTGGAAATTTGGCCTGCAATTTTGAATTAAATTGGTAAGAACATAATGATCAGCAAGTGTGTTGATTAGTCACAAGCTGGAATGCAACAAGGGAATTAGTTTCCACAAGAAGATATGTATTGCCTCTTTGACTGGGCAAACCCACCACACACTATCCTTCTTGGTCAATTTAATCAGCTGATGGGGTCCATTCTTCCCTTACCTTCTGATCAAGGAATCAGAATTAGAAAGAAGAAGATACCATATCTAGTAGTTTTGGTAATAATTTATGAACGAATTGAGATGAATCTGTACTGGTGTAACTTATGTCAGTTAATAATTTTTTATACTGTATATATTTTGAAAAATTAATTATTATATTTAATATTAATTTTATGTAAATTAAACATGTTAAATTTTAAGGCAATCTAATATATGTAATTAGATAAACGAGAGAAACTATGTTTTCTATTGTTTATTTAATAGTTTAAAATTAAGTGTATATATGAAATAGTTAAACATATCCAATTAATTTAAAATTTGATATATATGATTTATACGAATAAAATATTATATCCAACATTTGATTTGGTAAAATACAAACTATACATAAAATTGTTGGCTAATATAAGTAATGATGTAACTTATACTAGAGGAAGTTAGATCTTTATTCATATTTTCAAAATATTTTTGGAATGTATAAATGTTTGTGCACCATGGGTGATCTCGATATTTGAAAACATTCTTTCTACTTAAAAGTTTTCAGTCTATGCACTTAGAGCGCGTATTTAAGATATATTTATTATATATTTTTATAATTAATTTTTTTATTAAAAAGTAAATATTGATCTTAGTTTTTTTTTAATTGTTCAATGAAAATGCTTTATGCACTATTAATATTGAAAATAAAATTTATTTTCATTTTTTTTATAAAAATTAATGATAAAAATATAAAATAAATGCACCCTTATAGAACAAATTAGAAAAACCCTTTTCTACTGTACTAGAAAAGTTTTTGGGTACTTATAGTATTTTCAAACATTAATCTCATAATAAAGAAGAGGCAAAGTTTGCATTTTAAACTAGAGTTTTTCTAACCTATGCCTTTATAGTAGATATTAAAAGTATAATTATTACATATTTTTAATATTAATTCATATTAAAAAATAAATATTAATTTTTATTTAAGTAACTGTCAAATTAAAATGATGTGTGTGACAGTAGTGATGAAATTAATGAGACACTTTATATTTTTCAATATTAATTAATATAAAAATAATTCAATAATTACGCCATTAACAAATACTCTAAGCCTCTATTTGAATTGGTTGATTTAGAGGGGGAGGGAAGGAGAGTGAGGGGCAAATGTCTCTCTTACTTTGTTTGGTTTTCTTTATTAATGAGGGAGGGAGATGGAGGGGTGATAAAGCCCCCTTCACTTCTCTATTTTCCATCTCTTCAAATTAAAGAACTTGCGAGGAATTTGATTTACACATTTAATGTTTTTTAATTTTTTTAAAAATAAATATATATAAAAATATTTTATTTCAATTATTGTTTTAATTAATAATTTTTAAATATTTTATTTTTTTAAAATTATTTAATTAAATAAAAATATTTCCCTTTCATCTCCTCTACTTTCATTTATCCAAACAAAGTTAATATTGATTCTTTTTCTTTCCTTCACTTCTCCTCCCTTCCCTCTCCCTCCCCTCCCTTCTCTTTCTTTTACTAATTTTTGTCTAAACAAAACCTAAAAATACATGCTAAAAAAACCCTTTAAACTATTATATTTCTTAACAAAATTAAAGATAAACAATCTTTTTGATACAATTTTAAGTAAGTAATATTTCATGACACAATTCAATAATATAATTTTTGCTTCTCACATTTAAAAAAAAATTCATAACTCTCTTAATCTGGGAATTTACTTAATATTTTTCCTCAACTTTCTCAATATTATCCTTTTACCAAATATTAAAAAGTTATTAAGCTTATCAACATTTCATTAAAAAATTCATTAACCTTGTGTATAATATTTTTTCTTCCATTTTTTTTTTCTACAATACTCTTTTTACCAAAAGCTTTTCTAGAACAAGACCATTATGTATATATGTATGTCTAGATGCTTGAACATGGGTAGGCAAGCAAAAGAAATTGAACCTACAGGTAAGATTGGAAAAATAGAAAATAAAGGTTTGGGACATTAGAGATGTGGAAGAATGACAGGAAAGAAAGAGACAAAGCAAAGTCCACAAATAATAAAAAAAAAAAAAAAGAGGAAATCTAGATAATGCCTTTGAACACTATCTTGTCTGCCATTTGAACCGTTCAATTCCCACTTGCTTTTCAATATTTAATGTCTTCTTATTATAAACTAAAGGCAGGTCAATCGGAACTTCTTTCTGAACAAAAATCAAGAGCAAGTAGTAAAATTTTACTAAAATAACGCTGAGGGACACACCTAACCCATGAAGCTCAGGAATAATATAAATAAACTAGGTTTCAATGTGTGCTTTGCACACTTTCTTCGTATTGAATTTTGTTAGTCATTTTATTAATTATAAAATTTTGTATTAATAATTAATTAAATATATATTAAATTATTTATTTGATAATTACTAATCATCAATATCAATTAATACTAATTAAATTTTACTGTCATTAAAATCCAAGTCAATTAGGCTCAAAGACTGAAAAAGGACAGTAGAGGACTAAAATTGTATTATATTCAAATAACTCTTTCGTTCACTGACATTTTTAAATTTAATTTAAAATTAGGATCTCATCTAAACATTTCAGTATTTTCTTCTTTAAATTTAAATAGTTATTATCTATATCATTCTCACTCGTTTGGTTTGAGAAGAGGGGAAAGTTAAGTTTTTTTATCAATCAAATTATATTGATTGGAAGACAAATTTATCGTCTTTTTTTCTTTTACAGTAAAGATGTATTTTAATATTCAAATGTTAATAAATATAATAAAATAAGATAAATATCAAAAAAATATAACAAAAAGTTATTTTAAATTAACAACAAATTTTCACGTGTAGCGCAGTTGTACTCCTATTTTTCTCTTAAATAAATGCACTAAGAAACATTTGAAAAGCCAAAGTGAGAAATAAAATAAAAATAACAAAAATTAGGTACAATTACATGTTTATAGACTTAATAAAAAATAACAAAATGAAAAGTACAATTAAATGCTTATTGGCTTCAAAAACAACAAAATGAAAAATTCATGTCCTATAGAACAATGTATAGGCCTTTGACTATAAATAAATCAATTTCTTTATTTATAAAATTATTATTTAGCTAAAATGATATTTGCTTAATTTTTCTTAGTCATTGAGGTGTTATGGTTTAATATTTATGGTAAGGGTTTAGAATTCTATTTGACTCAATGCTTGGGGGCTCTAGGGTTTGCATTTAATTTGGATGGTTCCATTTTTAGGGCATTAGAGTTTAGTTTTTTTAGGATTCGATACTTAGATATTAAGGTTAATTTTTTTTTTTTAGGTTTAATATTTAGGGTGTAAAGTAGCCCCAAGGTTGGATTAACTAGTAACTAAGTATTATCTTATAAGTTGAGTTCAGAATTTTAGTTTTGGGGCCAATATTTAAAGAAATTAA